CATAATTTGGTCTAGCGTTTGGTCTAAATAGAACATGTTCAAAAATTTATAAATAATGCATTTTATAAGTATCCAGCAATCGACTGTTATTTTCTTACTATACTAATAATGCTTGTGCAAGTATAATAGAACAGATCTAAATAATCTCAACATCCTTGAGGCCAAAGTGCAAAATCCTTGGGTCAATAAGACTTAATAAATAACTTTTGATATTCGAAAAATAAAAGCTGACTACTGACCTCACGATGTCTCCCTTTCTTACTGAGCCTTGATAAACCGGGCCCCCGTAACAATGAACGGGGGAATGTTCTATAACATTGCCAGCGTGTCCACCTAGTGCTGCTGTGAGTTGTTGTTGAGCCTCCTGCTGTTGGGCTGGCTGATGAACATCCGCGGGTCCTGTAAAAAAATTAATAGTTCTGTCAACTGTTCATTGGAGTCCTCAAATACCTGGCCATATGTATAAACATTTGCAATTTACTCATTTATTTCTAAACCAACCAAACCTTAAACAGTATTCAATATCTCTCACTTCCCATTGTACATCGCTGATGACAAAATTTTGTTAAATTTATTCTTTGATTACAGTTGCTGCTATCATTGCTGAAATTTTTTTTGCATTGCTAAACTAGAGTATTTTTTGGCTAATAAGTCTACCCAGCAAATAAGACGGAAGCCTATTTTTAGCACTAAAAAGAAGGTTTTTCCATATAGCAATCCAATAAGACAGGTATAAAAATTGTTGCTTCTCCGTTGATCATTTAAGCAGCTTATTTTTATGGTTAGAACCAGGCCATGTTTGTTTCAGGTTAAATAGGGCGCTGGGTTATGTCTATGGGTTAGTCAACAGCTGCGTTTTTCAGTCTGGTGTCGGCAAAACGGGAGGGTCTTAAAAGCAATCACTTTATCTCTTGCTAGCTGTTTTCTTTTTGAAGTACCGATGTCAGTCATAAACAGGAAGTGTTTTATCGACCGCCACACTTTTGAACGGCCACCCAATAAGACGCCCAAAATCAGGTAAAAAAATTGGGTCTAGAAAAGCGATTAGCCGGGATTACAGGGTGTGTGTTTAATTTCCTTACCTAGCTTCAGAGTTAAATTTGCTTAAAATCATGCGCCCAGCCAGGATTTTCAAAAGGGGGGGGCTTCAAAATTGGAAATTTCCAAAGCCGTCGGTAACAGTAGCCACGATTATGTGGCCGTTGAAAGAGCCGACTTTTTTGGGGTATAATGATTTTTCTGTCGCGTAAAGTATTCAATCCATTAAAATTACGAGATCCTAAAATGCCCTAATCCATTAATTTAAATATGTCTGACGTAGCTTGAGGTTGCGTCTTGTTATGGCGAAATAAAAACATTATTACTCTAAAATACCATGCGTTCTATGAACATAAAAATATGATATAATCTGCCTAATGTATTTAATTTTGATATGTATTTTTGATAAGCAGTAATCAGTAATCAGTAATTTATTTTTTCACCATTCTAAAGCACACAATGTGAATACACAATACAAGAAATAGGAAATATGGTACTTTAGGGCGAAGGGAGGCGCGAGACACCAAGACTGGTGATCGAGCAGCGACACCCATGACAAGTCTAACAGTAATAGATAAATAACAGTAATATATAAATCAAACAAACAATAAATATTAGAACAGGTTTACGTTAAAGTAAGTCGAGGCGACCTGCATACCCAAAAGACACCCGATCCAAGGAGAAACGGATAACGACTCCGAGCACCGTCTTGTTAGTAACCATGGCAACGTCAGCGAAATCTTATACTGTGGAATACAGCCATGGCAACGTCAGCGAAATCTTATACTGTGGAATACAGACACAGCCTGAGTTGAGCTTGAATTCATATTTATCCCGCGAGGGGAAGCCGATAACTTGGCATATTTATATTATTATAAAATAGTTTTCTTTGTCGCAGTTAGGGATACGAGAGTGTGTAAACAAGTGGAAGTATAGTGATAAGCGGCCACTGACATGAAGAAAGACTACACACATTAGAAGGTTCAAGGTCTTTTAAGCTTTCCATAACACTTCCCCATCATCCTCCTTCACAGCTTTGGTGAGGTGGGAGGCCTAGTGTTCTCAGATTTTGAGCATATTTTTCATATCACACTTATTCATGCGTTGCACTCTGTACAGTAGGCCTGGGCAAGTTGCGGCCCGCAGCAACCTTTTCTATAGCAGTGAGCAGGTTTCTATAATCAGACACTGTCTTTTTTGTTTACATATAAATATAAAATATACGTTAACTGTAAACAAAAATAAATTTTTAGGATAATGAAAATATCGGTAATAACGTTCGACTAATTTTTTTTAAATCGGCGATTGTTTTCGTCAACGTGAGGTGTTATTTAGATCGTGAACACCTTTACGTTAATGATTATTTTCTCAAAATCACAAATTTCTCTCAACATATATCAATTTTTTCCACCAACTAAAATCTAGATTAAAGAGAGGCACTTTAAAAACTGAACAGAAACAGGTTTGGATTCAGAAGGCTCGCAACAGATTAATAACGCTCTTGTAGAAATTGGTAACTAAAAAATACCTGGTGCCCACAGCACACATTTTAATTGGATGGCTTTTGTGCGCGCGATGTAGGCCTACCTTTTGATCAATTCTGAAACTACCGACGGGCCTGATTAATAAGATAACTAATGTAAAGTAAATTCAATCGATTTTCATGGTACTAAAATGAATATTACTCGGTGTGGTTTTATCGCAGACGTAGTGATTTTTCTGATGGTAAAAGCTTTAAAACAGAGCTAGTTCAGTGTTGCAAGAACAGATCAGATTTGCCGAATTCAAGAAATCGCAAAACACAAATAAAAATGATGTGGCAATTTACCTCACATTTTTATGTCCGCGGAATGCGGTGGTATTTCAGAGTATTAATGCTTATATTTCTTCAAAGCAACCGCGGGTTAAGTTGAAAACGATAAAGCAAGACATTTTAAATAGGCTCGTATCGCAAAAATTTGTATCAAAACTAAGTATATTCCGGCAGTTTATCTCACATTTTTATTATGTTTATCTCACTATTCAGTATTAATGATAAAATTCGGCATTGTTATGTAAGCGTACCGTTTCTCTGATCCTATGTATAGTCTCGAAATCGCTAGGTTTATGTTATCTAGTTTTAATAATTGTGCTTTGTTAGAAAAATTCTAACAAAGTACAATAGATATAGTACTTTGTTATTATTTAAATGTGTGATAAAATACAATAAAAAACGCAATTAACTCGGTCCATCCCGCCACTGCATTTTGAGTATTCAATGTGGCCCGATAGCAAAAATAATTGCCCAGCCCTGCTGTACAAGGACTTCCGTACAAGGAATTATTGCATCATTGATATTTCATTAGGCTTCTCAGCCTTCATATAATCAGAAATTTCAGGTTAGTAAAAAAAAAATTTAACACAGAGCCATAGCTTTTCCACATTGAACAGTTTTATGTGCGACGTTATTTATGATGCAAATCTAACACAAATCCTCTCCGAGCAAAGATGAAGCAGGTGGACCACATACCTAATGCGGATGCTCCATCACCAAGCCGGTCTAGAGCAGTGGTTCTCAACCTTTTTCAGTTCGCAAACCGGTATAATTTCAAAACAAATTTTGCGGACCGGCGGGCCTAATTATCCAAAAATGTCATGAACACAAAACATAATCAAAAGAATGCAATTACGACAAAAGCAGGCGGCGTGGAAGCAGGCAATCCAATTTAATGTGAAATTTGCTGCTGTCATTTTGATATTATACGTGTTAAACTCGGTCTTTATGAACAATATTTACGCAATTGACGAGGAACCGTGAGAGACTACTAAAGTCATCGTGTCAGCGACACCGTGTTTGCTAAGATTAGCAGAAGACGTCAAACAAACGTCGAATAACATGAAATAATTAATTTTTGAAAATAGAATGAATACAAATCAAAACGAGAGAATCAGTAAAGCGAGCAGTCGAATAACACATATATATATTGTACCAATATAGTGAATTTTAAATTGGGTTTGGATAATGTTAGTTGGATGTGAAGTTCACATATAGATCAATTTTGCCTTATTGTGTTAGTATTGTCGTGGGGTTGTTGTTTTTGAAAAAAAAATCCATGGAAATATTAGACCAACCGACCTCAAATTGTCAGTACTTTAAGATTGATGAAATCGCTAGAAGTTTTTTTTTTTTTCATTTTTCAATTCTTCTGAGCGTACGGGACCGAAATTGCTTTTCAATTCATGGGAACATTTGTTGAAGCATGGAAACACTTTTATCTGCCACCCTAGCTTGTGGAATTATATAGCAATACAGGGAGTCCTCGACTTACGACGCAGTTCCGTTCCTGAGACTCGATGTAACCCGTATTTCAGTGTAAGTCGGAACATTATACTGTACAGTGGTACAGTGCATGAATTACTCTATACACATCGTACTGTATTGTAAACTGTATTATGGTACTGTACACTAATAAAATGTACAAATAATGCAACCGTCATAACCCGAGGACTCCCTGTAGTCTGACGTCAGTTAGTTGAATGAATGTATTTTGTGGTTTTACAATGCTTTTATGACGTTTGGGAGCAAATTATTCCACCAGGCTAGATTGCAAGCTTCTTTTTTCAGTACTGATGTGGGATGTGTCGCTGCAGTGTGGCTCATCGTGCAAAGCGAATACCCTCGCCGCCGCACCTCTGATTACTCTCTGTGGGTTCACAGGTTCGAATCCCATGCGGGAATAGTTATGTGCGAAAGGATTGCTGGACTCCTCACTGCTGTAGGGTGGTTCACATAACCGATGGTAAGTTAATAAGGCTTTCTCCGCCAGCAAGTCCATGTTTCCAAAAAACAACAACAAATAACTGTCTCACTACTTCCATACCAGAAATAGACTGGTAACCGGACTAGAGACCGCGGTTCGCCATATGATTAAACCGTCTTGCAGTCTCTCCTCTCCCCCAGGATAAATATTTCGCTTTTTGGAAAATAAGTCACTTCAGTTCACACAATATTATTCAATACGTACCACCAATAGCTCCAATTGAAGCGTCTTTTATTTGAGCTTTCGACCTGAAAATATTAAAAATAACTTGATTGAATTTCATATCAAAATAATTTGGTTCTACGCCTTCTTTGTATCAGATGTATCAAGTTGTATCAATGTATCAATCCACTTGTTCACAGTTGAATTTTGAGGACATGGATATTATTTAGCTGATACTCAAATGTAGTAATTTTATTATTTAATAGGGACGGCGAAAATGCCTATCTCGACAAGTGATGGTGTTTGGACTAGTACGTATCATTAACTTATAATTGCGCACGGAAACACTACTGTGTGTTTTAATCTTACAGCGCTCGTATTATGTGTACATATCAACGCATATTACAACGCTTTTCGCTTCATCAGCTGTCATGCTAAGTATGTTCTACACATAATTTTCACCAAACGTTGAACTTTAATTTTGGTTGACTTTGTCGAATACGATGCAATTAAATTATTGCAATACATCCACAAAGTTATGTGCAAATTGGCGTTGCATAATTTTGGATAGCGTTCGGTCTGAAGAGAACCTGTTCAAAAATAATGCATTTAATAAGTATCCAGCAATCTACTCATATTAATTAAGTATAATAGTACAGATCTAAATAATCTCAACATCCTTGAAATACGGTACGAGTGCACAATCTTTGGGTCCTTAGGTCTGGCAACACCTTTTGAAATTCAAAAAATAAAAGCTGACTACTCACCCCACGATGTCTCCTTTTATTACTGAGCCTTGATAAACCGGGGCAGCATGGTAATGATGAGTGCGATGATGGTGAATGTGTTTTATAACGACATTGCGCGACATTACGACATTTCGTGTTGTCGGTTGTTGGTGAACCACCTGGTGTCGGGCTGGCTGATGAACATCCACGGGTCCTGTAAAAAAATTAATAGTGTTGTCAACTGTTCATTGAAGTCCTCAAATACTTGGCCATATATATAATTTCCTAAAACATTTGCAATTTACTCATTTAGCACTAAAAATAGGGTTTTTCCATATAGCCCTCTAATGTGATGGGAATAAAAAATTTTGCTTCTCTGTTGGTCATTTGAGCAGATCATGTTGCATGGTTAGAACCAGGTCGAGTTTGTTTCGGGTTAAATAGGGCACTGTTTGTCCATGAGTTAGTTAACAGCTGTGTGTTTTCAGTCTGGTGCCGGCAAAATGGGTATCATAAAATATCATAAGATAAAATCACTTTATCTCGTGGTAGCCGTTCGAAAATGATTGCTAGATGTCATAATTACCGTAAGCAAACTATCACCTCACCAACAATAAGACCAGTTTGGCAAAGCCTAGCAAATATGTAGCTTGACTAATAACAAACAGAGATTATTAAAACATAGGCAAGACACTTTGCCTTTTAAGCATATTGGGATAAAACACAATTTTTGAGTTATCCCATTATCATAATATGCAGCTAATAGTGAGTTATTCTGCATCATTGGTGACATTAAAGAGAATAGAAAATATTTGTAATCTTTCACTGACCTCCACTCCCTGCGGAACCAGTGTTTTGTGCAACAGCAGATGTTGGCAATTCAATGTGTAATGTTGTTGGTGCATTTCCACCTTGAGAACTTGAACCTTGACTAGCTTTAGGGTCAGAGTGACCACGCACTTTTTGATGTTTATCCATGTAGATAATGAAGCATTTCTTGGACTTAAATCCTACTTGTTTTAGCTAAAAACAATAGTTGAAAATATGAAAAAAACGTCATTTAGATCAGCGGTTCCCAACCTTTCTACCCTGGGGGACCGGTAAGATTAGATTAAATGTACTCGCGGACCGGCAAAAAATTGAAATGGCCAGAACAGAATAGAATAACATATATTTGCGTAATATAATGCAATGTCGGGCACTCAATATGCTTCTAGACGAAAAAGCACACTTAAAAACATTTCTCACGGAGAAAAACTATCAAGTAATGTGCCAACCAAAAATTAAAAATGGAAGCATAAAATAATTTGCGTAATGAAATGCAGTGCTGGGCACTCATTATGCGTAAGAAAGGCACGCATAAAATATCTCACATTAAAAACATGCACAATGAACTCCGGTGAGAATTTTGCTGTTGTTTTGTTTCCAATATGAGATTGCAAACGAGGCCTCAAAGAAGTTTTTGCAACACGTAGCTCTGCAGCCGCGTGCAGCCGATTTCTTTGTTTCGTTTTAATTGAATCTAGTGATGAAAATGTTTTTTCGCATAACGCAGTAACTGGCTGAAAAGACGGACAGCAGTTTGATTGCTCGATTACTTGGCGATGGGTATTCGTTATCATCTAAATTTGTGATAAGTAATTCTTTATTAATCTGGACTGTAAATTAGAATTGCCATTTTAATCAAGCCTTTTTTTTCATTGGGTTCATCATATTAATCCCTCTGCAGTTGATCGAAGTCTCAAACGAAATGAATTTGCATTACAATGAAAAAGTGGTCGATAACTTGGCAACAGGCTCAAAATCCTACTGTGTCTGAAAAAGATCTCTGCGACCCATGCTTTTTGCGCGTCTTGACCACCTGTGGGGTCGCAACAAGTTCATATCTTCTGGAATATTATACTGTTCTTGACTGTTTTCTGGTGTAAACAAGGAGATATGCATTACGTTTTATATGGATGGTCATATTAATCAGGTAAATCACGCGTGCCGATTTTTAGGCTTCCTAATTTTGCGAGATTTGATGGAGCGCATTCGCGATGAATCGGAGCCGAAAAAGCGAAAAGTGTGAATGATCGGCGCTAACATGTCACGGAAGACATCGCAATATGACGGAGGAAGAGAATTGCGTAATAAGCCAATGCAACTTTGTCTACGGTAAAGCGATTGAGACGACATAAAAACAACAAAACAACGAAATTTCTGGCGGACCGCCAAAAAAGCTTCGCGGACCGGCGGTTGGGAACCACTGATTTAGATCAGTACTCAACTGGTAAGTCACAAAGACTGCAATGTGTGAACTTGTTACTGAGTAACTGAATTTTAATATTATTAGCATTGGACCATCATTAGTGGTCATCTGTAACTTTTCTCTAGAGATTAGCAGAGTTGGAGAGATAGCGTTTGACTGAGCATGAAAATCAAAAAAGGCATGAGGATTCAACATGAATCCTATTCAATTTCCAAAGTTACCAGTACCCACTGCACTGCTTGATTAAAATTAAAAAAAAAAAGCAAAATTGTAGCCCAAATTTATTACAATCTTTAGACAGTACCGGTATTTACCGATAGTTTAAAATATCCTGAGCATTGAATTTCATTTGATACCAAACAGGCATTTCAGGTATGAAATTTAGGAATTTTGACAATATTTTTTTTGCCTCATACTGTTTAAAATGGATCTTTTATACAAAGCCGCCACTAATGCAAAAGTTCTTGAAAACTACCCAGAATTTACTTGAGGAGCAATTTATACTTCTTGTTCTGGCATTATTTTGAACTATATCTCACTTGCATCTGAGAAAACAGTGTTACTGTATTTTAATGGCGAGAGATATATTAGTCTTTAAGATATATAGTTCTGTGTCATGACAGTTATAAATGAAAATCAACTATTTTTTATTTTATTTCTGAGCTGAGGTTAGAGGAAGTAACTAATATGATAATTTATAAAATTTTGAATTTTACACTTTCTTTTTATAGTAATATATCAATAGGCCAACAAACAGCTTTTACTTTATCATATGTAAATATAGAGCCATTACGTAAAGTAACTTTACATATCACAGGTTTGTTTGCTATCACATGATGAAACCAGTTAAAACCAGATTCAGATATTTGTTTTTCGTCGTGCAAAAACATTGTACATATAAACAAATCTTAAAAATTAAGTAAATTCATTGAAAGAAAAAAGTACAATATTTGAACTGCAATGGACGAGGGGTCGCGAAAAGACTATTAAAAGTCATCATGTCAGCGACACCATTATAGAAGCAGATTAAGTCAAACAATACAGAAGTAAATCAGCATAAATAATTAAAAACAATTTGGAAACTAAAAAGTATGCGAGAACGGAAGATTCAGTAAATAAAGTATTGACTAACTAGATCAACTTAGCGTCATGCTCCAGCGAGCACGCCCACAACAAGGAAAAAACCGGTTCGAACTGGTCTTAAAGTAACTATACGTATCGCGGGTTTGTTTGTTTTCACAAGATGAAACCAGTTAAAACCGGTTTGAACAGGTCTGCGAGTGCACGGCATTAAATTACCAATCGCTATATATGGGTTTAGGTGGGGAAAACTATTTCACCTTTTATCACACAGCAGAACCTCATGAAATTACAATATGGAGGTGTTACATTACTCTACATTGTTGTACAACGCTTTGTACACATTTCACGAACAAAGCGCTGTACAAACATTTACTGAAATTTAACAATGTACAAACCTAACTATAAATAGTTTCTCATATAAATTTCCTAATTTTTTTTACATCTAACCTGTGCTAGGGGGGGAGGGGTATTTGAGTAGTTTTTGACATTTGAACCGGTGTAAAATCTGAGTGAAATCGATTCTCCGTAAAATTATGATTTCATTGTAACATTCTGACTCTGTACTTCCTTGCATAACAGTTCGAGTCTTATTTAATGTATTCAAGTCACCTAAAAATGCAATTTTTTTTTGGAAGTCAGTATACTCAATTTACCTCATTTATAATTGAGTATACTGACGTCTACCAGTTAAATCAAATCTAAGAAAGCCCTAGAACCAAATCGAACCCCTTCATGAGAAACTTGGGTACATATAGTTCATTTTAAAAAATAGTAATTACAAAAACCTTGGAACATAATTATCTGACATCACTTTAACTTGGCATGATAGATCACAATTATGGTTTCCATAAACTTTTTACCACAAATAGGCTTTTAGTTTAAATACAAGTTCACTATGGACTAGAAATGGGTGGTTTGACTTGGCCAACAACTTCCTTGATAGAGATACTTTTTATGTTCCTATTTCGGGTTAAATCTAACACAAAATCTTTGAGCTCTTTCAGACACTGGTAGCATACAAAGTTCATTTTATATACATCGGTGAGGACAACTTGGCCAAGGAATTCCCTTTCCCCATGTTTCAACCAGCCAGTCAAGGTCTTGATTTCATTAATGTCAGAATATGCTACTTATAGTTAGTCCTCTGTTATAATCAGCTGTACTATGTGAGAATTCTGCTTCATATTCTGTCTCGTCGTCAATAAAGACGAATCTAATTCTGACTCTGTTACTGCTTTTCTGAACTATTATTATGATCTTTCTCTTTGCTGTTTTTCTTTTTTCTACCAATTATACCCGTTTTAAGTCTATCCTATCAGTATAATGGTATATACTTTCAATTGAAGTTATATAGTTTTCGCCTAAATTTATTTTCTGGGACGGCTGTTTTTTTATATTACTACATGTTTTCGGAGATGACAGTGAATGTGATTACGTCAACTAAAGCCTTTGTAAATGCACTAAGCTCACTGGTGGAGTAAGACTCTGTGCTTGGCTTGTCCACAGCTTTCTTTTTTACTATTATTTTAGTTACAAGAAAAAAACTGCTTTCTCAAAATCCTACAATCGCCCATTGTGAATTTAGACTCATATTCATTAAAAATAGAAGCCTATATTGAAAGATGGACATGATGAAGGCTACAAAAAAGTGTTAGGCTCAAAATAGTCACACAGAACCTCATAATCCTGTGTTATAGCAGTGGGAGAGGCCATTTATGCATATACCCAATTTACCCCACGGTAAATTTCCGACAGACTCATTTTACCTCGATTTTTTCAAACATCAATGAAACGAAAAGTCAACGAGTTACACAAAAATTATCTACTGGGGCAAAGAGAGTAAAGTGTCACGTGAAAGTTTTCAAAACTATTTTTTTCACAAACAAAAAAATTTCACATACAAACATCTGAAACAATTTTATCATTGGTAAGCAAGTGAGTTATATGCAATGAAATGGAAGCATAGGATATTAAATATTGTTGCTACAAAGTACAAACCATTCACTCAACATACAAAAAAGTTAGCGAGGTTTTTATACATTGTACTCAATTAACCCCTTATGCTCAATATACCCCCCCCTACCTGATCATATAGTTCAGATTCATCTCTGAATAATGAAATTGTTATTACATAGTCAGACAAGATACCAGCCAGGTTGTTTAAATTCTGAAAACCATAATAAAAAGTTAATAAAACAAAATTCATTTTTCATAATTCAAGAAACTTGACAAAACAAATCGAATGTTCAAGGTGGTCAAAAAAAAGCAGAGACATTCTGTGCGACCCGCAGAACAATTTTAGCACGCACTAGACCATTGGTAAATATTTGTATTAATTGAAAAAACATTTTTTAGTCAGTTTTAAACTATTTCAACTGGAAATATCCCTTTTCCTAATCCAAATGTTGGGATTGTGTTGAAATCACGGATGTTGTATCTATGAATCTCAAGGTGATGCCTATATGGGAATGACGCCCTGTAACTCCCCATTTGGAGAGACGCTTTGTGCCTTTATCTTACTAAAATCACTCCTCTATTTTCAAGCGTTGGACATGCGACAGCAGTGACGAACCACAAAGCTGACTAAGCGATGTACAGACTAGTTTTTTTAGTTGAGTTTGAGGTCCCAACTTAGACAGAATTGGTTATCTTTTGACATTAGCACCAG